TTAAGGTAGGAGTGTCGGCGCGTAGGGCCCATGAGGATGCCTAAGGTTGCCGAAGCCGTAGGGCTAGGAATGGACCAACGAAGTGACGAGCGACAAATACTGTAAGAAATTAGCAAAGACGACTCTCCTTATCAAAGAAAGGAGAACCAATGAGAAAATAATACCCTGAGGACGAGTGCCACAGGAAAAAAGGAGCCAACAATGTCAAGGAAAATAGTGTCGTGACGCCGACACATGAGAGCGTGACATGCCGCAGAGGAGGCCATCTGAATTCGGCATGAGAAAAGCCTAAGGACCATGGACCAAGCTAAGGGACATAGAAAAGACTAGAAGGTGCTACCTGAGCAAGGGTAGAGCCTCGGGCAACCTGAAAAATTGAGTGGCCTTGAGAGACAGGACAAAGAGGGCTAGAAAAAGAGGAAGAGAGGTTCAATTTCGAGGCCCCTAGGCCTTGAAATCGAGAAGGGGCTTAAGGGGAATGCAACGGACTAGAACGACCTTGAATGTGGAAGGACCAGGTATGCAGAACTTGAAAAACAAGGCCCTATTGTGATCCGGAGAAAAACGAACAGCAAAGGTGAGAGATTGGGAAAGGTAGGAGGGCATGGGAATGGAAAAAGGGCAAGCCGTCTCATCATGGCAAACTTGCCCTTCCCAAAAGAGGCCTAGGGACCTTGAACAGGTCTGCACCAAAGACCAGATGCAATTGGGACAGAAACGGACTAAAACGGACACCTACAGCAAAAGAAAACACATGTTTTTGATACATTTTCTGACCGGATTCATCCTAGGATGAAACGGTTACAAAATGTTTGCATTTTTTCTTGATTTTCAAAGAAAAATCAAGGAGGAGGTGCAACGGACCACAAAAAGTAAAGCAAACACATGTTTCAAGTACATCTGGAGCCAATACTAGGTCCGAATGCATTTGGGGATGTGCCACTTCAATTTGTTACAATTCTGGTCAAGCATAGGGGCAATGGGACTAGGAAAAGGGTCACCATTACACTTTGAGATATAACGGACTGCAACGGAGTGTCAAGGCTATGAGAAAAGAGGCCTTGACGGCCGAAGGCATAAGAAAAAGAAGCCCCAAGCATGAGGGTCAAATTACAAAGATGGACGACGACCGCGAGATCAAGGTCACGCGGCCAAGAATAATCGACACACTTGGATGCGTCAAGAGGAGGGAATTGGGATTGTTCGAGACTAGGAAGTCTCAAATAAAATCGGGACGACATGTGGAGTGGTGATGGGGACTCATGCCTCAGTACTTTGGGCCCTGGGAGGTCTTAGACGTTGTCAGGACTGATCTGGATGGGCCGTCTTATGTAATCCGGATCCCTGGTCACCTCCGGACTTATCCTGTTTTTCACGCCTCCAAACTTGCACCCTTCAAGGAAACAGACCAGTTTCCTTCTCGTCGCTCAATGCTGCCCCCAACCATGGACGGAGAGGTGGACATCGATGACATAGTGGATCACACGGAGCTGCCAGTGCCAAGACCGACCGGCAGGGGACGTCCTCTGAAACCGAAGCTGCGCGTTCGGTTCCGGCATCATACTGATCCAAGGGAAGACCGATGGTTCACCAGGGAGGAACTCATGCAGACCGCTCCTCGGGTTGTAGCCCATTACGAGAAATCTCTGCAGAAGGGAGAGCGCCCAATGATTGAAGACTGAGCTTCTCAGAGGACTGTTGAAGCTATGGAGGAGGGAATGCGAGCCACAACCTCAATGAGCCCCTTTTCAGGCCCTGTCAAGCAGCACGTCGGCCGCCCTAAGTGAACGCAGGCTCGACGAGGACCTGAGGGCCTTGTTTCGGCCACCATGCAACTAAGGAAATTCAGGCAGTTGCGCAACGCCGGTTGGTTGAAAGAACCCAGGCCCTGGGACGCCTGTTTCGCATGTATCGAAGGCAGGCCCTGGGATGGATACAGGATGTGGGCCAAACAGAGGCCGAAGGCAGTTGGGCACAAACATCCACCTCAGGCCCTGGGCCTGATCTGTTTCGGACAGGGCCTCAGCCACCGGGGCCTACCGGAAGCTTCTTGGGAAAGGCCCAGCGCAGCCTGGGACAGAACGCAGGCAGGCCACTTCAATATAGCAAAGGGCCTGCCTCTACATTGGGTATTCGGGTGCTGGCTGCATGCTGCACAATGCGCTGATGCTGGCTAGTGCTCACCCGCTCATGGGCGAGCTTGAAGCACAGACAGCCATAGCCGAGCTGCGCTGCTGGGAGATGGGTGAGGCGTAGGGTGGTCCTTGGGTGCATGTGGCATCTGTGTGTTGGGGAACGAGGTTGTGAGTGAAGTGAGAGATATACCTGGTGCTGGAAGCGTGCGGCATTGGTCGCTATCTGCTCGTACTTCAGGAGAGTTGTTGTCGTCATCTTCGGCATTGTAGTCTAGGCTAGATAGGATCTGCCATCTGTAGTCTGGGCGCCGAGCGCCAGATAGGATATCAACATTGGTTCTTCGTTGATGATGATGATGAGATTATTCCAGCATTGTCAATTATGAGCTTTTGGTGTGCTCTTATTTGGTGACACTCATGATGCAATTCTACTGTTGGTTCGAGGTCACGACTATCTGGTCTTATGTGTATGATGCTCTTTGATTGCTGAATTTCGTTATTGCTCATCTTCCTTGCATATTCAATTAAAAATATTTAAATTTGCATAAATAAAAATGAATAAAGTTTAAGAAAGTTTAAACATTCAAACATAACTTTAATAATTTCACGAAATTTAATCGGGAGAATTTAGCATCATCACGAGGTCACTAAGTAAGTAGAAGATTAATGCTAGGAGGAAGATACACAATTTGCTGGAAGGATTCACCTTTAATCGCAATAAAAGATGCGTTTTGCAAAAAGTGAAAGTTCCATGAAGTTGCAGTTTGAATGTGGCCCTGCTCAGGCCCGATCTGCCTTTAATTTGGCACGGTGCCTGGCTGGCACTTACTTCCCATAGGCTTGATAGGTCGTCAGATTAGGTTAGGACTAACCCTAATTAGCGTTAATTAGGTTAATCGTGATTAGCGATTCCTCATTTGCGCAGTATGGAGCAAAATTGCGAAACCTAAAATTCCTAATGACCTAATTACCATGAAGTACGAGAAAAGAAAAAAATTTGCAGCTTGTGATTTAATGATAACAGAGTGCAGGTGTCGATAATCAATCAATCAATCAATCAATCAATCAATCAATCAATCAATGGTGAGTCATCCAATGCTGGTCTGCTCCGATACCAAACTGTTGCACACTCGTGAAACACAGTCAGAAGTATGGCGCAGATTCCCAGAACCGACCAGATAACACAGAGTTAATACAAATACGGCAGAAGACTTGAGATACATGGACTGGCTCTGACCTGACTCGGACTGCAATCGAACACTCTCAATCATTCATCAGGGATGTGAAAGCCCTGGCATTGGACATGGACGAAAGGCCAGGGTCTGAGATCATCCACGGACGAAAGGAGGGAGGAGAGAGACGAAGGGAGGAGGAGAGGGAAGATGACGTCAACTCAATGTTTCCAAAGATAGTATCTTGAAATGTCAGAGATGGCGAAAGTCTGAAATGTCGCGAATATAGTGTCCCACAATGTCTCAGAAATCAATCTCACAATGTCAAGTACATCTCCAGAGGAAGATGAAATCAAATCCCACAAGTAGTCCTCAACCTATAGTCCCAATGTCACTGTCTCCAATGTCATCAGAATTCGTAACCATCTTTCATACTTTTCGTTGTCCCGTAGGAGAACCCAGAAGTAGACTTACATTGAGAAGGTAGGAGGAGAGAGAGAGAGAGAGAGAGAGAGAGAGAGAGAGAGTGGCAGTGGAGGAAGAGGGAGAGAAGGCGACGCCTTCCTCCCCTGGTACCTGTCTCGGTAGCTATGGCGCTGCAGGAGGCTGGCGCTGGGGCGCGGGCTGGGCCGGTGTCTGGCGCTGTTCCTGCTGTGTTAGTTCCTCCTCGCCGCTGTCTTGATCTTGCCTCGCTGCTCGTACTGACGCTGCTGCGCTGCGCTAATCTTACTAACACTACAATGCTGCGCTAATCCTGAAGACTAACTCCGGTCTACCAACCTCCATACTGAGGCTGGTACCCAGCCTTTTGTAGTGCTGGGCCGACCTCCTACTTGCTGGTACCTACCCGCCTGGATCGTTGATCTGATCAACGGTCCAACTTCAAAAGTGGACTTCGCGCCTAAACGCTGCAGCCTCTGCACTGCGCCGCCAGTAGGTCCTATGCTGGACCGGTACCGGCCTTGTGGCCGTTGGCCTGGGCCTCTACCCCTGGCCTGTCTGAACCGCCGTGGTCCTGGCCTACCTGGGCCTCATATGAACCGTCGTCCCCTTAGGCCTACTGTTACATGCTGCGCCTGCACACGGGCCCCATTTGAGGGGCCCGATGGTTGCTGAGGGGCCCCCAGGCCGCGTACCATACATCATGCGCCCTGGAGGCCCACGGCGGCCCTTCAGGCCCTAGGTAGCACACTAGGTAGATAGGCTTTGTTTACTTACCTTTTGGTGTGTGTGTGTTGTCTTATTTTTGCCTGTTCAGATGCCGTTTCGGACTCRCARCCCCAAGGCCGGACCTTGGGACTGGGTACACCAGAGACAGGCCCGAAACGAGGCCAGGCGCATTTTGGCGCCAAACAGACGTCGTTTCGGTCCTGTAGGTCCCAAGGCGACGCCTTGGACTAGGTGCACAGGAACAGGGCCGTTTTTAGGCCAGGTGCATTTCTGCGCCTTGCTGCATCAGCAGCGTGGTCTGGACGTCCGGTAGGGACCCAGAYCAGCTGGGCCGTTTTCTGAGGCCAGAAGCAGGTAGGCCCAGCCCGCCCAGCGCTACAAATAGCTGGGCAGYGGCTGGGCAAGGASAGTTGGAGTAGCTCACTTCTGGAGCGACACGCTGCTGGTTGAAGCAGTGTTATTCTGCACCAAGCTACGGAGTAGGGAGTAGCGGAGTAGGTAGTAGAGAGGGTGGAGGCCTTACCTGCAAGCGACGAACTTCCCTGGCGCCATAGCTGGGCTCTGGGCGGTACCTGCACACGATGACGACCACAGTCAGTACGGTGGCAGCTACCTGCAGGTGAGATAAAAAGGAGGACGTCATCTTCTTCTTCTTCCTCCTCCATCTYTCTCTCTCCTTTCTCCTTGTTCCTCCTCTTTCTTACCTTCTTCTTCATCTACGAGAGTGAGAGAGGATARCGGTAGGGAATACAGGCAGAGCTTATGTTGGGCACATTGCCCAGGATCTGACTCGACATTTCCAGGATAGACATTGATTGGACAATCGGCAAGGGACTATTTTTGGGACTTCGCTATTGCGATCTGGGTCTACTCCCTCGCTTCCTGCTCCTTCATCTCGTCCCTTCCCCCCATCTCTCATCCGTGGTATCTCCCCATGTATGTGTGTGAAGGAGGGACCTTTCTTCTGTGTTTGCGGTCCCTCCTCCCCTCTAACATGTGCGATGTATGATGGATGTCGGGTCAGTACAGATCAGATCAGATGTTCTCTTTTAAGTCTTCCACTGCGCCACTTTGTGCCATCTTGTATGTATTTGGAATGTACATTGCTTGTTGATGCTACGCTGACCTTGCATTGTCCATTTCAGTCCTTTTCATCACATTGCGGATCATTGGCTCCCTACGCATTGTCCCATTGGGCATGCGTCAGTTTGGTATCGGAGCCCCGCTTGTGCATCAGGACAACCTGATCTAACACAAGCGCAGGGACAATCGAAGATTGATTGATTGATTGATTGATTGATTGATTGATTGATTGATTGATTGATTGATTGATTAGGATAGCGTAGCATCTGGAATTTTCGTTTCTCTTGTCCTTTTGAAATTCAAAATTCCGGTGTTGGAAGTCCGAAAACATTACGATTTTTTGTTTTCGATTCATCTGTTCCTCCGCAATTCCCGTTATTTCGAAATTCCGAAATTGTTTTCCCGAAATTCATTATTCGAACTTATTTCCGAAAATTTTCTCGTTCTTTTTTTTTTTTCATGCATTCCGGGGGTAACGGAAAATTCAAAACTTGACCGTTATTCCTAGATTCTGAAATTATTTTTACAAAAAATTCCTCTGCAGCCATTTGTTTTACAAACTGCGCATGCTCTCACTTGAGCAATTCCAATTTTTTTTATATTTCGGAATTCTTCGAACTTGCGGAATTTTTTATTTTTTGCAGTTCAGTTACTGGGATCATCTCCATTCGTTATTATCTTTCTTTTGCATCGACAGTCTGAAATTCAATTTTTTTTTCTGAATTACCTGTTGTGGAAAAATAGGAGATCTACCGAACTTGCAATCGAGAATTTTTTTAATTACTTAAAATATTTTTATTTTCTCGAAATTTTCGCAAAGTGCAAGGAAGATGAGCAATAGCGAACTTCAGCAATCAAACAACATCATACATATGAGTCCAGATAGTCTTGACCTCGAACCAACAACAGAATTGCATCACGAGATTCACCAAATAAGAACACACCAAGAGTTCGTAATTGACAATGCTGAAATAGTCCCATCATCATCAACGAAGAACAAGAGTTGATATCCTATCTGGCGCTCGGCGCCTAGACTACATGTGGCAGATCCTATCTTGCCTATACTACGAAGCCGAAAGATGACGTCAACAACATTCCCGAAGTACGGGCATATGGTGACCAATGTCGCACACTTCCAGCACCAGGTATGTCTCGCGCTACACTCACAACCTCGTTCCCCAACTCATAGATGCCACTAGCACCCAAGGACCACCCTGCGCCTCACCCAGCTTACAGCAGCGCAACTTGGCTATGGCTGTGTGCTCCTTCCCTGCTCGCCCGTGAGAGCGTAGGCGCCAGCCAGCAAATAGTGCAGCAGCAGCGCTTGCGCAGCATGCAGCCAGCACCCGAATGCCGAATGAGGAGGCAGGCCCTTCCCTATATTAAAGTGGCCTGCCTGCGTCCAGTCCCAGGAAGCTTCCAGTAGGCCCCGGTAGCCTGAGGCCCAGCACGACGAGAGCACGCCCTGGGCCTGTAGTGGTTGCATGGGCCCAACTGCCTTCGACCTTTGTTTGGCCCGGTACCCGTATCCAGCCCACGGCCTGCTTTACATTCATTCACACAGGCGACCAGGGCCTGGGTTCACTCAACGAACTGGCGCTGCACAACTGCCTGAATTTCCCTGAGTTGCGTAGTGGACGGAAAAGGGCCCTGAGGGCCTCGTCGAGCCTGCCTTCACTTAGGGCGGCCGACGGGCTGCAAAAATGGGGCCTTATGGGGCTCATAGAGGCAATGGCCTCGCATTCCCTCCTCCTCAGCTTCAACAGTCCTCTGAGAAGCTCAGTCTTCGATCATAGGGCGCTTTCCCTTCTACAGAGATCTCTCGTATTGGGTTACAACTTGAGGAGCGGTCTGCATGAGCTCTTCCCTGGTGAACCAGCGGTCCTCCTTCGGATCAGTGTGATGCCGGAACCGAACGCGGTACTACAGCTTCGGTTTTTGAGGACGTCCCCGGTCTACTGGTCTTGATACTGGCAGCTCTCTGTGATCTGCAATATCATCAATGTCCACCTCTCCGTCCATGGTTGGGGGCAGCATTGAGCGACGAGATGGAAACTGATCAGTCTCTTTAAAATGTGCCGGTTTGGAGGCGTGAAAGACAGGGTAAGTACGGAGATGACCAGGTATCCGGATAACATAGGATGGCCCATCCGGATCTGTCCCAACGATATCCAGGACTTCCTAGGGTCCAAAGTACTGGGGCATGAGTTTGCGGGAAATCCCGTGCTCTTGTCTTAGTTCCGACGACTTAACCCAGACCCTATCCCCAACCTGAAATGTAGAAGGCCGACGGTGTCTATTTTCAGAATAGCCTGCGGCATCTTTTGTTCATAGCGGTAAGCAAATTCCAAAGTACTTGGTGCAGCAGTAGTTTGATTCTCAGGAAGAAGGAAGTCTAGGTGCAGTCTAGGCTTGAATGTTAGCAGTAAGCTGTTTGGGCTCACCCTGGTGGCGCTGTATACAACGTTGTTGTACAAGCTGGCGATGAGAGCAAGCTTCTCATCCCAGTCCACCTGGTTGGGCTTGATGTAATGCCTCAAGAGGTGTTGCACAGCGCAGTTCAGTTGCTCAGCCTGACCGTTGGCCTCTGGGTGATTCCCATAAGTCATCTGCAACTGAGTTCCCTGTTCTGCAGCAGCGACCTTCCACAACTCATTGGTGAACCGGACATCTCTGTCACTAATAATAGACTTCGGTAGACCAAAGTCCCTGACCCAGTT